GCTCATAGACGTACTGTATGGAGAGTGTACAGGATATCGGCTGGCTCTTGCAGATATTTAGAATGATGTAGGTTCTCTCTCTTACTCTATATTTTAAAATAATCGAGATACTTTCTTCTGCACTTTGGTTGCCTTGTGGAGAATGTTCCACAAACCAACTCAGTCAAATAGTACATCCATTCTTTACCATCGCGTCTTCGGCGACCTGATCGCCCATTGGCTGGCCAGTGGACGACCTCGTCGTCTGTCAGGACAGTATTTAGGTCTGTCTCCTACGATAGCACCAACACTGTAAGAGCCCTTTCAGGGCTTCTTGGTGGCGAGCAATGTTGAGCCATTTTATATGGCGCACATACACCCAGTCACAATTATAACCAAAAGCTACCCCTTGGGGAATGCTGGTTTAAAGTGCCGATTTTTTGAGGAGCTCAAAATCGGATCGGATTTACCATCACGTGCAGCTCAACCCATGTCCTCCTCTTTTTTTCGCTTTATTCTGTAATTTTATTATTTGTTTGTTTGTGGCCTGTCTGTATTCCGTTGACTCTGTCAGCTTTCATTCAAAAATATTCCATATACAGGAAACATAAATATGCGTCAATGGTTAAATCAGCAGTGTCAAGATGCTTGGATAGGTCAGAGTGGTCCAGTAGCGTGACCTCCCATTAAAATCAACCATTGACACAGCGAGTTTATTTGTCCTCTATGTTTGGAAACTTATGGAACACCCAGTAGTAGTTTATTATTATCTTATTTCCGCACTCCTTGTTTTTTTTTTTTTTTCTGAATTCTCACATAAAGCTCTACATTATTTGTTCTGTCAAACGGTAGGTAGGTAGGCAGTTGTACCCCATCAGGACATCACACAAGCGATAAACATCCGGTTACACCATGAGGATATGAACATCCGTGGAGGGGTCACAAAAACTCCTTTCAGCCGTTAGGCCATATTTATGGCCAAGCCATATCTATGCCCCAGCAATATTCAGGGCCCCTGGTAGAAGCCAGGGTGGGGCTTCAAATAACAAAATAATGTATCAGATATGGGGACGATTAGGTCTGTCAAATGATGTAATTCTTTACTAATGTGCACAGTCACTCAGTTAGTGAATGTGTTTAGTGTAAAGTTAATAATTTCAGTTGTTTGTTACATTCATTTCATTCAGTGGTTTAAAAACAAAAACAAAGGCTAACTTCGCTCAAATATGCTATTCAAGTTTGTGTGTGTTTGTGTGTGTTTGTGTGTGTGTTATCTTATAGCCCTACCCCAGTTGTCGTCGGGGCCCTAATATAGCCTAAAGGAGCAAACCGGTTCTGGGACTTGTGCATGGGTGATACACACCCGAATGGTGGCACTTTGTGTCACCGGGTGTTGATCGCTCATTGTGGTGTCCTTTCGAGGTCAAACGTCACTCACGCACAAAAGCCAACCTAAATCTATAAAGGAGCTTGACCACTTCATGACTTGCCAACATAAGATCCTTAAAAAAAAAAAATTGTTAGAATATTATGGAGCCGCAGTGTTTTTGGCATCTCTATTTTACGACGTTAATAGGCTATTATTATTTAGGGAGGCATGGTATAAACCGCCCATGGCATTGAGAAGTTTGACTAGCACAACCAGCTGGCATTAAGAAGAATCTTCAACAATGAGTACATGCGATTTCAGGGTCTTTTTTTGGAGGTGGCCATCAAATGTCTCTCACACGGTTTTTCTCAGACGCTCGGCTCCTATCACGTCCATAGTCCCTTTATCTCGTTTTCCCTAAATACCCTTTCTAATTATCCTCTTCCTCACAATGAGATCCATTGTTCCATATTTCCATTAAACCACCTCCGTACCTTTATCATATATCTTCAAATCACAGTAGAAAAGAATCCCAACTTTTTTTTTTTAAACCTATTTGTAATCGTTCATTGAGAGTGACTTTGGAAAGTGTTGCATGGAGGGGGAAACAGTTCTGCTTTAATTACTCCATAGAAGCGGTTGCACTGGAACTTGTTTAGTTTTCTTAAAAAGCTCTATATTATTACAATAGATTATAGTGTAAATATTCGTTACTACCATTACACATCTTAAACTATTGTCAATCGTAAACATTTTCTGACACACAGGAAATATATGCCAACGTATCGCTGTGGATTCCTTTCTTTCTTCTGAAAAATACTACTTGGAGCTTTCATATTAAATACTAGATGAACTCGCCAAGCGTTGCTGTAGTTGAGTTTGTCAAAAAGTATAAGAAAAAATAGACAGCGCACGTATCTAATATAGTTAATATCAGTCATTGCACAGATACAGAGATAGTCTGGTATGCCGACTCTAGAAGACGCAACATATAAGAGAATGTTTATATTAGTGGTCGATTAAAGTACACTGTTAGAGTGGGGAAAAAAAGATTATTTGTGGATCACATGTGAAAGCATCGTGTGTGCTTAAATAGCTTAAAGTAAAGTGACTACTGCCTCTAAATGACTAACAGAGTCGCAAAAACAACAACAAAATGAGAAAAGTAGAGAAAGCGGTATTAAAATATAAATATTTAAGAAATTAGAAATGTAAAATAATGTTTTAAGCTCTCTCAGCTAACAGTGTCTGCCATCACCCCCCCCCCCACCCCTTTTTTCCATCCCCAAATCATGGGATTGGAAAATCATCACCTGACGAAATTATTAAAATATAAATAGTTAAGAAATTAGAACTTTACAATAACGTTGTAAACTCTCTCAGTTAACAGTATCTGTCCTCAACCCCATTAGCGCCGCAGCCCCCCCCCCCCCCTTCTTCCGTCCCCAATCATATCGTCCTCTCTGAAGGACTGGAAAGTCATCACCTGATGAAATTTAGTAAATAAATTGAGCTTGGCATCCGTGTTCACCCAGACTAAAATGGGTAGCAATAATCTGTACTGAGAAATAAATCTGGCCAGTGTAACAGCTACCACATCACCCATCGAGCACCACTTCTACTGCTCCACTACCACTACCACCACAACCTTCACAAAAACAAAAAATAAAACCGTCATTAATGTCTTTGTAGGTCGGTGTAGCCAGAAGATTTAGCAACGCATGGCTAGTGCTGTCGCCACGGACTGTTTAGTGCAACTGTGCCGATTACATTAAAAATAAAACTCCATCACCTTATCAGTGATCGAACCCACGGTAATATTCCATGAGTTAAAAAAAAAGTACACGATACTCACAAATAGCTTTAATAAAAACCCGCACTTGTCATCTCTTGGAGAGGGACGATTTCTAATTGAACTTGGCATCCGTGTCCACTCAAATTAAAATGGACTTTAGGCTGTTTCAGCAAACAGTGTCTGTCATCAAAGAATAGTTTTTGATCTAATGAAGCGTCGCGGGGAGGATAGTTGGGACTGTGCTGAAATTGGATGTGTTGGAGCGAAAGGCGCAGAAACTGCAGCTTAGTTGTAAACCACAACACAACATACCAGCACCCAGCGGGAAATCGAACACCGATCACCCCCGTGACGGGCGGAATACTTACAAATATACTACTGAAGACTCAAGAATTTGGTTCAGATATCGCAGCCTAGCTTAAAACCACAACCGCCCTCTCAACGAAAAGAAAGATTACCCAGGACATGACCATTGAGCATCTCGCCACCGCTATCACAGCCTAGCTGTAAACCACAACACAACGTGGCAGAAAAATTATATCACCCAGCGGGAACTCAAACACCGATCACCCGCGTGACATGCGGATACTCACAACTACGCTACCAAAGACTATAGAATTTGTAGGAATAAAATTATATAATAATGGCCAATCAACTAAAAGCAAATTTAGGCCGGCAGCGACACAAATAATGATTTGATGGTTGCTAGAGCTACGTCGATCGTGGTTTGTGCAACACGTATACATACAAACACGCGCAGAGTCAAACGCTACTTTGTGTGAGAGTTTTAAAGCAATCAGTTCATTTGTTTCTGAGTCTACAGGTACCGACCGCAGAAAATTAAATTTTTTTATTAATGCGGATGACAATCCTCCGCCTCTGCCCTCTGACAGTAAAAATATTACAATGTCCAGAGAAAATATTTATACTACCCAAGACAGCAGTACAAAGTATTATTTAAATGCACAAAACAAAAACGTGCTGTTCTCTAGTTTTTGACATAGCAAAACAGAAAACCGATAAATTGTTGGGTTAATTTAAAACGACAGACGGGCTAGAAAATTGAATTTTGCATTTATCCCCAAAGAATATCAAACCCACCAATTGATCCCACGTATTACAAGCATCTATACCCATAAACAAACCAAATTTGTCTGAGTGTTTGTCTCCGGACGGAGCTTAGTGAAGTGCACTTGTAGGATGGATGATAATGGGAGTCTTCGGGATGAGGTGGTTAAGGATGAGTGCTGTGTGTGGTTTGATACGGGTGTCTACTTGGTGAAGTGGTGAATGCTGGGTGTGTAGTAAATTTGAAAAAACTTTTTTTTTTTTTTTTTGAAAAAAGGGAAGGGGGTTTGTAGTTAGGTATAGATGTTAGTGAAGTAAAGGTCCCTTTTCCGCGTCCTAAGGCGTATAGGGCAAATAGGACTAGACCTATATTTTTGAAGACCAATCGGCACATGATTGGTGACGTGGTCAGCATCATGTCGACCGCCTTTACTTCCCGGGACTGCACCCGGTACCCACTCAAGGCTGCGTCGACCTGGTAGTCAAGGTCATTTTTTGAAAAAAAGTCAGGCTCCGCGAGGGAGTGAACCCACGACATTCCAATCAGCAAGCGAGCGTCTACCCGCTACGCCACGGCGACTATCAGGGATAGATATTTTATAAATTGGTCTCCCTCGTAAAATGATTTAGGATAGATGCAGTTTGGTATTTTATATGTTGGTGTCCTTAGTAGTTAAGTAAGATGTAGTCTGATGTTTAATGTAGGGGATCTATGAGGTGAAATGGTTAAAGATGGATGAAGTTTGATATTTGATGTAAGGATCTCTGTGTTACAGTGGTTAAATATGGATGACGTGCTCTTTTTTTTCTAATACCTGTCCCTTGATTTGTTTTTAATTACTCAGTAAATATATAATTAGATCGATCATGGGTATGCCATGGAATTGTGGTTGGTAGTCATAACAAAAACAATCACAGTAATGCTGATGACAGGTCCTGATCGCGACAGGAAAGAAAGAACAGCACGATTTGATAGATACGCTGGTGGTTTAAAATAAAAAAGAGATAAAATGGGATTTAGATTTAATAATGGGACGGCAGAAGTGAAGGTGATATCGAAGAAAAAAATAGTGCCCAAATATTGTAAAAGTCAAGGGCATTATTTTAGAACAAGTACAGAAATCTAAGTATCTTTGGCACACGGATAACACCTGACGGAAGACATTACAGAAATCTAAGTATCGTTGGCACACGGATAACACCTGATGGAAGACAATACAGAAATCTAAGTATCTTTGGCACACGGATAACACCTGACGGAAGACAGTACAGAAATCTAAGTATCTTTGGCACACGGATAACGCCTGACGGAAGACAGTAACGAAATTTAAAAAAAAAAGGACATCTAAAACTGTATTTTATAAAATAAAGAACATTTTAAGAGATACATTTATGCCATCGGAGGTAAAGAGAGGAGTTCTAACATCCTATATTTGCAATCTTTCTTTGTTAATTAAGACGAGAACAAAACTTCTTAAAAAATCTATTTCAGTCCTATCTTGATATAAGGAAGGAAATCATCGACAGTTGGCAAATTTGTGAAAAACTATTTGGAAGCCTCAGAGATGTGTTTTTATAGACGATTGATGAGAACACCCTGGACAGATAAAATGAGTAATTGAGATGTCTTGAAAGAATCTGATCAACTAAGTGAACTGACTGTCCACATCAGAAAGAGACAATCTACATTCTCAAGTCATCTCATGAGAAAGAGAATACTGAAGTAGATCGTGACAGTAGGAAAATTGGAGGGGAAGAGAGGCAGAGGGAAACGAGAGAAAAGATGCTGGACAGTTTGACATCATAACATAGAGGATCATCTGTATCAGAGTTGATTGAAAGTACACGAGGCAGAAGGTTGTGGATAGATATGAATACCAACGATACACTACATAAAGAAGATTATAGAGCCAATTTCAACATATGGCTGTGAATCATGGACAATTAATAAAAACTTCCTTGAGGCCTGGAAGATGTGGTTTTACCAGAGAATCCTTAGAATTATATTCTTCTTTTTCTTTGGTATTCAGAGCCCTTGAGGTTTATTGCTGCAGATATCACCGCCTCCATTCATCTCTCTGGTTGGTCTTCTCTTTCCAGTTGGTGTCACCAAGTGTTTGTTGATCTGTCTGGACATTATCTTTCCATATTCTTCTTGGTCTGCCTCATTGTCTAAGACTATTCAAATACCTAGTCTATACAGCTTTTTAAAGAATTATTTTGGCAACCAAAAAAAAAAAAAAAAAAAAAGAGCAACATAGATATTTTAAAAGATTCGAAAGTTCGAACTGATCACGAACATCAGAAAGAGAAGGTCGTCATTTGGTGGTCATATTATTCAAAAAAAGAATCTGGAACATGATGTGACCACTGGAAAGATCTGTGGAAGAGGAGAGAGAAAGACAAAGAAAGTGAGACAAGCTTGGCAGCTTTTTATGATTGCAGTGATGGGTGTCAACACATGAACTGATAAACTCTGTTGAAGAATGCTGATTGTGGAGAGGCATAATCGACGTGCCTGTCGGCAAGGCACTTAATTTTGATGATGTTCCAGTGATGAAGTTGTTAACTCTTTGAGTCCCAGGAAACGCATCATACGTTCATAGGTTAAGGGTTGTCAGGAGTGATATGATGATAATTTTGTCTATGAGTTGGCAGGAGTGATATGATGATAATTGTGTCTATGGGTTGTCAGGGCTGTTATGATGAATATAGGTATATAGGTTGTAGAGGGGTGGAGAAGGAGTGGGGGAGTACGATGTTGCTTCTCTACATGCATTTGTAATGTGTAACATTATTTTGATTTTATGGGTTTATTTTCGAGAAGTGAGATTTCTCGCCTATAAAATAAGTTGTCATTCGTCATGGTATGTTGGTTTCTGTATATGGTTTATAAAATATAATGGTATACTAATTCTGTAAATGAGCAGTGCAATTTTGATTCTCTTTCTGAATTTGTTTTGACACCTATTTGGGCAGTAATGTAGGTAGAGTTGGGAGAACCGCTAGAGGTATTGAAATAAAATACGAAAGACAAGAGGAGCTTTCGTTTCACTAGGAAATTTGTGGGGGTCAAAAGAAATTAAAACTAATACTAAACCGATAATTTTTTATTATATTGTAAAGTCAGTACTGTTGTATGGAGCGGAAACATGGAGAACTACTGATGGAATTACTAACAAACTACAACTATTCATTAACTGGTGCCTGCTCGGACTGGAGGGAATTAAATGGTATGATAGAATCACTAACGTGGAACTTTTGGAGAGAACTAAACAAGTTCCAGTGGATCAAGAGGTGAAGAAAGGACGATGGCGTTGGACAGGACATACTTTTAGCAAACACGAGAACAATATAACTGGAATGTCTTTGCACTGGAAACCACATGGCAGAGAAATAAAGGAAACACACAAGACCAATGGAGAAGGAAGCTTGAGAGGTAAGTTGCAAAAAATTTAAAGGACATGGCAAAGGATAGAACGACTTGACGTAAGCTGGTTAAGGGTCTATGCTTCATTGGGGGAAAGAAGGCAGAAGAAAAATAAGAAGAAGATAAGGACTTCTTAGGTGTCACATTATCCTGACTGTGTATGTTATTATGTGTTAAATCTATAACATAACACTACCAATGCTTTGTTTCAGATACACAGTGTTTACAGCGGACATAATCCTAATTTTACTGGCGACATTTCTCTTCTGTTGCGGGGCTGGTGGCCACTCACATTTGGAGGATGAAGAGGAGGTGGAGACAGACCACCAATCTCAGGGATCGAACAGTTTCCAGACATCTTGGATTGCAAAAAGAATGAGCCAGATGTCCTGCCACTGTTGTTCAAATTCTTTCAATAGTCACTGCTGCCTGCAGTGCATGCGAAGGTGACTACAATTCTAGTTCTAATTCAAGTTCTAGTAATTCTAGTTCTAATTAGTTTAGTTTTTACGTCTTTCCAGACGACAGTATTCCATTGTCTATAGGGAAATATGGGAATCACAGTCCATGGCAATGAAAGAGCATCAAGCCAGACAGTACTGCAGAGACCACGTGTTGCCCATGCAGAACAATTAGTCCCGGCCTACTATGTTCACTCGAGAGAAAAGGTAACACAACACTGAACGTGGTCTAGTTTATTGACAAAGACTTGGTAACACAGAATGTTTGGTGCAACGCATGCTGTAGAAACTGCCGGATCAGAAGAGCAGTGCTCTGTTAGCCAGTGGAAGCCTCCCTTCTGGACCAGCTGCCCACCAAGGCCAAAGGCCTGGTTTGCCTTATCATAATTTTAAGATTTCAAGTTATATGAGATGGAGGTTAGCTCCCTAGTAGCAGCTGAACTTGGCCAGATCAAATTGATGATGATGATGATGATGATGAGTGCCTGTTTGGTGTTTCTTTGTTTGTCGTTTCACATACTGTTCCCAATATAGAGCCATCTTCCCTACCTTAAAATGTTGATACTAGTGGTTGCCCATACATTTATCTTGTATCTTTACTCCTTGAATTCATGTAATTTTGTGTTCATCATTGCCCTTAGGCATATGTTTCATTTAACTCTCGTTTTCATATCTTTAGTAGTTTTCTAACTTTCACTAGCGTATTTTAAAACTAAAACAACATTAGAATTGGAAATACATAACCTGTTTCTAAAATGGAATAATTTAGAATTTCATAGTATGGCCACATACAATCACCTAGCCAATACGTGGCATAATTTCTGTCCTTGTGTTTCCTTGACTATCAAAAATACTGCCTAAATAGGTAAACTGCGTAAGGCTAAATGATGCCAAGAACTGTCTTGGGCCGTAAAGTTAAACTTTGGTTAAAGTTATGTTCGCTACAACAGTCAAGGAGTGTCGACTGGACTATACGAATTATGTGGCTAACATACGTCTGACGCGCATAATTGTCAAACAACCTGTTCACATTTTACCTAAAGAGAAGCAACACTGATTATGATCCTGTTGGTATTGTGTTGGTGTTGTGTATCCTCTTAAAACCGTAGTAGTTAGCTCTTGAAGCTTCGTGTAAGGAGGTTGGCTGGGTCTTCGGGATACAATCCTGAATATCCCGTCAACCTCCTCACGCGAAAGAAACAAACATTTTATTTAGACTGCTCAGTGGACACAGCAGAATTTGCCGCCCTAAGTACAGGGACATTCATTTAAGATTGGGGATTTATAACTTGTCCAGTGGGGACAGGCTTCACAGAATACTAAGCATGTGCTAGACATGCTCGATACATGCAGCACAGAAAACCTAGGTTTGGTCAGTTTGCATTCCAATATAAACCAAGATGTCTGTGGTCTTCTCATCCAAAAACCAGTGCCAGGGAGAACGAACAGAAAGAAGAAGTCCCTCAAAGTGTGATAAATCCCAAAACGACTGGTTTGACACCGAACGCGATGTGTGTAAAGATTTCTCTCCATCCGATATCAATGGGTCGTCTTCACAGAGATTACTGTGGAGCTTTTCTTTCACCTCTTCAAGCTAAAAAAAGTTCAACTCTAAAAAGAAATGATTACAGCTGTATAGAGATTAAATATGGAGTACAACGAAACGGTTACCAATCAACTACAAGCTATGAACGCATGTCTAAACAGGACAGATGGTATTAAATAAAGAAACACAATCACTAATAAAGTTCCTTTTAGATGTGAGTTATTAGAGCAGAAATGGAGCTGGCGCGAATGCTGTTTCACTGTCCCTGTGCGGGTTTCGAATAGACACATTGCTCCTTAAAAAGCACGTCGTAAAACACCACTAATTAAGCATTTGTTGCAATCAGATGTATTGAGTCTAGCTTGTAAACCACAACACAATGTAACGACGGCTGTTTAAAGAGCGAAGGCACAAGAAGAAGAACTGTTTCACTAAAATATGTTAAGGCCTTGCACATTACCACATTATATACAATCACTAATGTTGCGCTTTTGGAGAGAACTAAATACGTTCAGTTGGACCAAGGGGTGAAGAAAAGACATTCAATTGGATGTGACAGACGCTGAGAAATCCTGATAACAATAAATCTAGAATGCCATTGCAATGGAACCCACAGGGGCGAGGAATAGAGAAATACTCCCCCCCCCCCCCCCAGCCCTGCCCCCAAAGTACACGGAGAAGGCAGCTTGAGATTGGAGTTGAAAATAAAATAAAAAGATGTGGAAGGCATGGGGAGAGCTAAATGCACACGCGCCTTCGCGTGAGTTCTTTGAGGGCCTATGTCCCCTTTGGGGATAGAAGACAGAAGAAGAGGAAAGATACATTACCACATTATGGCAGTATCAGCGATAAAACTACTTTTTATTTTTTCTGTTACAGTGTCGGCAAACGAGGGGATGTTTCAGCTTCTCTAAATCCTTTTGAGGACACCACAGAAGACATCAATGAACGTTTCATTTCTGTGGACAGATCTGGGCCCAAAGATGCCACGAATGACTGGACAACCAATTCTCTGCTTTGCTTTTGCTGTTTGCTTCAGATGGACAGGCAACATTCCTCTTCTTCCAGACTGTGGTCTTGTTGTGATAAATGCCCAGACCTTCTTCGTTTCTTAGAAAAGCTCAACATTAAATAGAAAAATAGGTTTAGGCATTTCGATTTCAGAAATACTGTACACAATATATATATATATATAGACTGTCAGAAAGTCGAATGCATACATTTAAATAACTAATACATTAACAATTTAGAATAGATGTTACATATTTATCAACATTAAAAGAAAACACACTATTTAGTTTATTTACCAAATGGTTTTAACAAACAAATGTGTGCAATAGCAGATGCGCGCTGTTAGTATATGAAAAGATTAACAATAACTTAAAGATCAAAAAAGTTAACTGTATTATAATCTAAATGGTAAGGTATGACACACGAATACAAGAATACATGTTGTATTGAAGAGACACTAAGTAGAACTGAACAAATATATGAACAAAAAGTAGCTATTTGAAGGAGAATATAAAAAAAAAGAAGGTATATACATGTGAATACGTAACAAGAAACAAGTAAGAAAGTAAAATAAAAGTAAAGATCCCTTATTACACCTAAGGTGCATCGGGTATATGGGCAGAGCGTCCCATACTTTTTACAGACCAATCGGCACTGGATGGGTAACGTGGTCAGCATTACGTAGGCCGTCTTTACTTCCCCAGGACAGCCATCCTGGTACCCATTTTAGGCTGGGTCGACCTGCGACGCCCCATACTACGATAAAAATCCGCCTAAACAAGAAGCAAACACTTTTAAAATGTGATTATGCAGACTGTTATTACATGGATGGAAGAAAAAAAAAATATTCAGCCGATACATGAGTTTACAATAGTTATTTAAAAAAATTTTTTTTTAAATTTAAGTATTAGCAAAAAAGAGACACAAAAATATACACGAATAATTTTTTTTTAAACAATGTCAGTTTACTTCTGTCTTTGATTATCAGCAAATATGTGGCAGGAAAATAAACAACCTGTTTCCAATGAATTATCAAAAAGTATTAACCAGAATATTTAGCAGGCAGGTGAAATGAAACTAAACCACTAGAACTGTCAAACTGATTGTAAGATTTCATTATAAGTGACATTAAAACATACAGTCAGAAGGCTCTGATATTGCTAGATTTAAATATCAACAACTTGAGACATTAAAATATACATTTAGAATGCACTGACTTAATTATAAGCAGACTAGATACATACAAAATTTACGTATAGTATACTTCAGTACATAATGTTAAATAAATTGCAATTTTTAATTATTACAAAAAAAAGCAATGAAAATATGAATTAATACTTTTTTAATTTAGAATATGTCAATTGGTAATAACTTATTATTTGTGCAAATTTACACTATTTATTTTGGAGGGTTCGCTCTAAGTAATTATGTTACAAGACGTCATTGATCTGTATCAGTTGAAACAAAGGCTGCTTGCAAACAAACGCAAATTTAATGTCAAACACGCTCAGAAAGAGATATCAATACACCTACATGCAAATACATATATATTGGGCTGTTGAAATTCCAAAGATGTTGATTTTAACACACCTATTTGTGCATTTTCTGTAACTTGTCTGTGAAGTAAAGATAAGGAGAAATAATTTTGCTCACTCAAGATGTATCTGGCTAAATATTTAACTTCATAGCATTTAGGACAAGCCCATATTAGCTTCGTCTCCCTTTTCAACAGCCAGCAAAGACTCTCGTTACCTATGGTCCTGTTGTCCTCTGGTTAACTAATTGTCTTGTCTTACCCCCTGAGTGGCGCACAGAGCCTGCAGACACTCCCCGCTGTCTCCAAAACAGAGTTTCAGTATCTTCTATTTTACTTGTTACCTCGTTCCACAGGTGAGAGATCACTTCTGCATTTTGCAGTTGCAGTACCAAAAGGGGCCAGTCCAACCCATCTATCTACCTGCTCATTTCCAAACAGGCCTACATATTCCGGGTAAAATATCTACGTGACTCTCACCACCCGCCATCTCTGGATTGTCTGGATTGATGGGACATATCACATACGAAGAAATATGATCCCACCTTCCTGAGCATGCTTTACGAGTCCTATACTAGAACGACATGCGTGGCTAGTAGTTTCTCCGCCCATCTAAACGCCGCAGCTACTACCTGAACCTACGTTCTCAAGTTGGATGTGGTAATGTCATATGTCAAGCTCTTCTCAGTGATCCTTCTTCCCCATGCTTTTGAAATCCTATTTTTCTGCCCCTAGCCGCCATTGACCTAAAAGTATATATATATATATATATATATATATATATATATATATATATATATATATATATATATATATATATATATATATATATATATATATACCGTGTGTCTGTTAAGTCATTGTGCACTCTTGACCGGTCACATAAAATCAATGAAATAAGATAGAAGTGTGAAATCTTCACCAAATAAAAAGGAAACTCCAAATTTAGTACCTATTCAGTGCGTACATGTTTGCACACCATAATACGAAGCTTGCATAAATTTCGTTTGGTGCAGATTTCACATGTCTGTCTTCTTTTGTTGCTTTCCTGTTATCGGTCAAAAGTGCACCATGACTTTACGGACACACTTGCATATATATATATATATATATATATATATATATATATATATATATATATATATATATATATATATATATGAATCTCCTGGCCTAAAGTTGTCCTCTTTCTGCTGTTAAACCTCTTCTTCTAAACGTCCAGCTGCCTATTTTCGTGGCAAGGTAATTACCACTTTGTGCAGCTCTTCTTTGCCCTCCCTATCTTTATCCATTCTTCTCATCTGCTAAAAAAGTTTAGGTTGCAAACGCTGTTGATCGTCTTTTAAGCCCGGACAATTCAGGATCTGCCCACTTTTAGTCTGTCATCATTCACTATGAGGAATATGCCGTGTATTGCCTGGAACCCCAAGACAGCTTGCAGTACACTAGGTCAAGATGTGTCGTAACCTAATATTTGTGTATGTTAAATTAACAACTGATTTCGTTAAAAAAGAATCCTAATGGCATGTGAATAGTTACTATGAGAAGAAGCAGCATATCATAATGTACAATGAGACCTCCAATCTCGTACTTAATTCCTTCTTTCACTCTGTTCGTGAACCAAAATATTCGCGAGCCGAAACAAAATTTTATATTGAAATCAATGCAGATCGAACCAATCTGTTACTTCACCCCAGAAACATATTTTTCTTGTTAATGGTTTTATGTGTGACAAAAATATATAACATAAAATATGCAGTATAACTTTCCTTTGTGGCTGATAGTTGCTTGCACCGGTAGATGAGCTTTGAGAATTTGAGGTTTTGAACAGCGGATCAACATCATGGCACACAAGTAGTAACCCACAAGTGCTCCCTTCTTCTTCTAACTCAAGTATGAGTCAGAAGAAGCTCAGCACAGTGCACAGGCTCTGTAATACCGACGAGGATCCTAAAATACTTTGGCAGATTTTCAACTCATTTTTGTCCGGGCAGCGCCGTTAGGCTACTCTTTTCGATTTCCAACTGCCAAGGGATATTTTACGTGCGCAACAATGCACACGGGCGTCCGATCTCACTACCCAGAGACCAGGGGGATTACTAGCAAGTCCAAGTCCACTTGAAAAAGCAAAGCCCTTACAGGGAATTGAACCCATAACCTCTAGCACTCGAGGCGGATACCATGCCTGGAGAACATGCAGACTCCTATGCAGATGATTGAGAAGGTGGTGGTGGTGGAATTCTACTTATCCACAGAAGAATTCCATCTATAATAACGTGGTACAGATGTGTAATTATGTCTTGTATTTTTCTCCTGTTGGTACCCTGGAAAGGGGTTCGATCGCAGGCTTCGTGGTTAACAATAATGTTTCTACTTCTTATATTTGTGATCTTTGTTTCATTAACATAGTCACTGCATTAGCCACATCAGCCGTCTTTAGCACAACTTTATTCTTTAAAATAGTAAAGGTGGTAAATGTAGCTATGTCGCACTGCTAGGCTAGATCATAAACGCGAACTGCTGACAACAGAGACGTGAATCTGGCCTGTTCCAATCACAATGAAGACAAAGCTGTATGGTACACTAGGAGACGTGGACTGTACGATAGATTTCATAAAGGTACCAATGTAAATGATGTTTTGTTGAATTTCATAACTATCTTTCACGCCCCTACCGTGGAAGTGCAAGGTGAAGGTTTGACAGCTGATGATTTAATGATCCACATTTCGGATGTCATCCCAGCTTATCCTGGATACTGATATTCAACAAACAGTAACAATAGTGTTTCAAATAAACATTTCTAACAGCAATTTACAATATCTGAAGAGACATATAAACATCAAAACATTAAAATTACGCACCTATATTCACGTCCACGACCACGCGCGCGCGCACGCACACACATACACAACACTCAGAGCTGTCCTCCAATGTGTGCTTTGAATGACTGAATAGCATACATGTATGTCAACCTGATAGTTCTCCGGAAAGAAACATTTGAAATAAACACACTGAAATTATTCATTGATGAGTCGTATAACTATTATATTTGTACTTAGTTTGTCTGAATTCGTTGTAAAATCTAGTGCACATGTTTGTTGTAATGTTTGCCAATTGTTTTGATTGGTATTTTGTTGCTGTGTTGTAATTGCACATCATCAATTATGTTCAGTAGTGTTATCTTCTTCTTCCTCTTCTTCTATTCCTACCGTTACTTCATCGTAGTAATTGGGAAAGTATAAGGATCATAGCGTGCTCTTTCTAATACACTGCAAAAGCTGATCATTTCTATTAGATTGTTCGTGATGTTTTTTATGTTTTAGTTGATCTTCCACTTGCTCTGTATTTATTGCATTTCTTCGACATGGCTCCCTGTGGCTTTTGGTAAACATGACATCATTGTCAAATGATCAAGCCATCTTATCTGTAGCTCTCTAATCTTACTGTATGACTGATTTCAGTCCTAGTCTTCTAGTAACTTCTTCTTTACCAGCTCTTCTATAGCAACTCGTTATTGTTATGATTCTGCGCTCATATTTATAGTAAGTGTAGTTGCTACACAGTTTTAGTTATTATGGGTTATGTAACCT